TTCTTCTAAGCAGCTGTCTAGAAAACTGAAACTGAAAATAGTTGACACTCACAAAGCTGGAGAAGGCTATAAGAAGATAGCAAAGCGTTTTCAGATGTCAATATCCTCTGTTCGGAATGTAATTTAGAAATGGCAGTCATCAGGAACAGTGGAAGTTAAAGCAAGATCTGGAAGACCAAGAAAAATATCAGACAGTACAGCTCACAGGATTGTGAGAAAAACAATTCAAAACCCACGTTTGACTGCACGATCCCTCCAGAAAGATCTGGCAGACACTGGAGTTGTGGTACACTATTCCACTATAAAGAGATACTTGTACAAATATGGTCTTCATGGAAGAGTCATCAGAAGAAAACCTCTTCTACGTCCCCACCACAAAAATCATTGTTTGAACTTTGCAAATGAACATATAGACAAGCCTGATGCATTTTGGAAACAAGTTCTGTGGACCGATGAGGTTAAAATTGAACTTTTTGGCCAGAATGAGCAAAGGTACGTTTGGAGAAGAAGGGGCACAGAATTTAATGAAAAGAACCTCTGTCCAACTGTTAAGCATGGGGTTGGATCAATCATGCTTTGGGGTTGTGTTGCAGCCAGTGGCACAGGGAACATCTCACGAGTAGAAGGAAAAATGGATTCAATAAAATTTCAGCAAATTTTGGATGGTAACTTGATGCCATCTGTGAAAAAGCTGAAGTTAAAGAGAGGATGGCTTCTACAAATGGATAATGATCCTAAACACACCTCGAAATCCACGGGGGATTACATCAAGAGGCGTAAACTGAAGGTTTTGCCATGGCCTTCACAATCTCCTGACCTCAACATAATTGAAAATCTATGGATAGACCTTAAAAGAGCAGTGCGTGACAGACAGCCCAGAAATCTCAAAGAACTGGAAGACTTTTGTAAGGAAGAATGGGCAAAGATACCTCAAACAAGAATTGAAAGACTCTTGGCTGGCTACAAAAAGCGTTTACAAGCTGTGATACTTGCCAAAGGGGGCAGTACAAGATATTAACTCTGCAGGGTGCCCAAACTTTTGCAGACGCCATTTTTTTGTTTTCTGTTATTTTGAAAGTGTAAATGATGGAAATAAAATCTAACTTTTGTTGACATATTATAAGAATGTCTAATCTGTAATTTGATGCCTTTTGGAGATTTTTTCCATCTTTCCTTGGCTTCTTTATGCACATTAATACAAATTTTTAGCTGGGGTGCCCAAACTTTCAATCCCCACTGTATATATATAATTATATTAAATGAATTAAATAAATTAAAACAAATTATAGCAAGTGACTGAGTCCAATATATTTCCAGGGCGTGATATAGCAGTCACGATGGTGCTGCATGCATATCTTTGAAAAATCTGTAATATTGTACTGTCTTCTAATGGTGTATTACAAAATAAAAATATAGTCCACCAATTCTTAAATAATGTGCTCCTTCACCAGTTGTGCTCTCACCTGACGTATATGACCAAACTGTTAAGTGAGGTCATACAAGCTTGTGTCCCTTTAATTGGGCTCAGAGGTGAACAAATGGATAAATCCCTGTATCCCAGATGGATGAATGCAGCTTTTCCCAGCAGGGGGTCTTGCCCTTTCCTAGGGACCTTTTTCCTGGAGGCGGATGGATGAATGGAGTTATCCCTCTTTTTACTAGGGGGTCTCTTCACTCCCTTCAAAATGTTTTCCTCCATGTGTATATATACAATGTAATTAAAAAGAGAACATAGTGCCTTATCTTCTTTTTAAAAAAAATGTAAATAAATGTAGTGCACTCACATAGCATACATATTAAAATCGCTTTTTATATACATTTGCAGGATCCTTAATGTGTTTGCCACACTCCCATATACTTGCTGTGTAGTTGCCTTTAAGCGTCGTGATGTCAGAGCCCCTCAGACGCTTAAAGGCAACTACACAGCAAGTATATGGGAGTGTGGCAAACACATTAAGGATCCTGCAAATTTGTATAAAAATAAATTTTAAATTGTATGCTATGTGAGTGCACTGCATTTATTTAATACATTTTTTAAAAAGAAGATAAGGCACTATATTCTCTTTTTAATTACATAGTATATATACACATGGAGGAAAAAGTTTGAAGGAAGTGAAGAGACCCCCTAGTGGGAAGAGGGATAACTCCATCCATCCGCCTCCAGGAAAAAGGTCCCTAGGAAATGACGACACCCCCTGCTGGGAAAAAGGAAAAACTCCATTCATCCATCTATCTGGGATACAGGGATTTCCATTTGTTCACCTCTGAGCCCAATTAAAGGGACACAAGCTTGTATGACCTCACTTAACAGTTTGGTTATATATGTCAGGTGAGAGCACAACTGGTAAAGGAGCACATTATTTGAGAATTGGTGGACTATATTTTTATTTTGCAATACACCATTAGAAGACACTATAATATCACAGATTTTTCAAAGATATGTATGCAGCACCAGCGTGATTGCTATATCACGTCCTGGAAATATATTGGACTCAGTCACTTGCTATAATTTTTATTTAATTCATTTAATATCATTTTATATACACACGGTGATATTTAAATTACCTATTGGTTTTTTTATACACATTTACCTAAAGTATACACTATATAGTAGCTCACAAGAATCACATTTGTCATGTCTCTTGAGTTTGCGGCTCTCTTGTAAGCAGCCATTCCTCATTAATCACAATGACGAAGTAGTTAGTCTCCCAAGAGCCTCCTTTTTTTTTTTAAGGTGTTGTTTTCCACCTCAATGAAGATATAGTACTTCCTGCTTTATGCCCTGCAGTTAGCAGTGGGGTTATTGATTTGTAAAGGAGCTTTTAATAACTGTGATATTTAGCAGTTTCATGTAACATTTCTCCAGTTTCTGACTGTCCTCTCTGCTACATGGCTTCAGTCTCTGACCATTTCCCCCAGTAAGTCTTCATTTCCTCCAGTAAGTCTACTTTGGAGACATCAGGGATCACATTTGAATTAAATATCAAGCCTGTGCCCTGTACTGTGCAATTATGATAAAAGGAATTTGTACATACCTGTAAATTCGATATCTTGGAGTACAATCCAGTACAGGCCACCCTCTCCTCTCTTCCTGTGTTGCTCTGCAGCTTATAACACAGGGTTACAGGGATTCTGCCTGTGTCCTGTACTGTAATCCCAAGATATGGAATTTTTGTTTGCTCCAAAACAATCTTTTAACATATTGAACAAAAAGATAAGTTTGCGATTGCCTGAATTCTTCTGTTGCACTTTTTTTTTTTTTAATTAATCACTCCTTTATGCAATACTTTTCTGAAATATACAGTTCTTTCAATTAAATAAAAGTATTGGTAGCACTATGTTCAGTATTAATATAAGACAGTTAAGATAGAATCAGGAGGCCTTCCAGAAGGACCACTGGGGGTAGGGGGGTCAACAGGTCCTAGAGGGGTGCTATGTCAGCATGTAGAATGTGATCTGTTGGCTGTAATGAATCATTTCAAAAGTAAACAGAAAGGTCTGCTTGAAAATGTGCACTTTCACTGCTGCTATTGTAACCTTGAACTTATTTTTACAGCCTCTTCTTGCCCCATCGTAATGGTTAAATCCATGGCAGTAAATGTGCTAATTGACTGGTTTGTGCATCCTACCATTTTTAACACCGATATCTGCAGATCATCCACTTCTGCATTCTTTATTCTAATGACAAATCACTTTGGGATAGTACAAATAGATAGCATTGACTACCCTTACCAGAGAACAGCTTTTCTTTCTTTCCTGTGGTGCTCCATTTTTGCTGTATTCCCATTCCAAGCCCTGGTTAGGGCTGAGTAACGGTCGTCTTCAGGTTTGAAAGTTTGGAGTGGGTGGTTACATCTAGAATGAGCTGCCGCCTCATCCTCTCCTCCTTCAGTTCTCAGCTGTGACTACGCTTTGGTCACATAGATAAGCTGAAACGTGCCTGCCTGTCATGTGCCTTTGTTTCCATGACTTCACACTGTCAGCAAGAAACAGAGGCACATAACTGTATGCTGAGGGATTTGCAAGTCCAGGAGACCATACTGTACAAGAAAAGAATGACTAAATGTTCTTCAGCTTCTTCTTCTGCTTCACTCTGCAGAGAGAGAAACTGATAGTTCAGTAGTGAGAGCTCAGCTTGAATGGGAGGGGGAAGAAAAGAGGAGGGAGAAAGCAGCTGCATGTCTGTAAGTGAAACTTGGACTCAGAACGACCTTGGGGGAGTAGGGGGAGAGAAGCTGCCTGTGTGTGAAGAAGCTCAACAGCCTGGATGGGAGGGGTGAGGAGGGCGGAGTATGAGAAGAGCTGAAGCTCTGCTGATGTTTCGGGAGCTTGCAGACTGTCGGGAGCTGATGTCAGTCATAAGAAGGGGGTTGGATACCAACTTCAATGTCGGGATGATGCTGCATGAGAGACCTCAGCCCCTCCCACAGCTATTTTCTTTGATTTCAGAAGAAAGGGTGTACATTTCAGAGGGCAGAAAATCGTTTTTCCTAGTAGCAGCTCACCAGGATTCAGATTATGCAAAAAAAAAATGTAACTCATACTTCCCTTTTAAGGGCAGACAGTTTATGTAGCATGTGCTTCCTGGAATCCATCTGCACTTAGCTCAAGCATTGCGGTAGGAGGATGTTCTTAGCTGAGAAAGCCCTCCTCTAGATGAACAGAAAAAAGAAAAAATGCCCATGAAGACTCCTTGGGATGTATGACATCATGTTGGCCTTGGCCAGAAACCAGGAAGCAAATGAAAAAATGTAAAAAAATAAAGGTTTTTAAAAACTAGTAAATGTAATCTTCTGACCGATCCTATCTTAAATATAATCTTCCTATCTGTTTACTAATGCTAGCAGCAGAGGAATTAAAACCTAGTTAATTTGAGTGAGAGAGTTTAGTTCTGTTTTAATTCTGTCATAGGAACATTAGGTAGGATTGTCTCTAAATGAACATCTTTAAATGCCTGTTATTGCAGATGTATAGGGAAATGTATGTTTTGTTTTTTTCAGACCAACTTTCTCGGTTACATATGATCCTTAAGCCTTTTATGCTCAGGAGAATCAAAAAGGATGTGGAGAATGAGCTTTCTGACAAGGTGAGATATAAAAGTACTTTATGGTTAATTATGAATCCATAGATAGTTTTAAAAACCTCATAAATGATACCCAATGCATCAATATGACCGCTTTAATTACTGACAATATGGTGTAACTTGCCATGCGATTTGCAAGTTCATCGCATGGCAAATCACACCCGGTGTGACTGGGGTATTACTGTTATTCAAGCTTGCAGCATTGCATGCCTTCAGCTTACCAGACATTTACTACTCTCATTTTTGATGTAATAAAAGGGAACTTTGGTAAACACTTTTTGCATATGACCACATTTTCATAACCACTTGCTTGTCTGGCTGATGTATAAAAAAAACAGCCAGACAGCTGACTCCTGAGGACTGGAGACAGTTTTAAAATGGCCTCCCCTTTGCACCGCTCATGCGCACCTTCTAGAATGTGCAGCTGCGCACTCTGTGATTACTGTGACTATTGCACACAGCAGATCACAGAGCAAGGTACAGGGCCAATGAAATTGTGGCAAAAAATTATAACTTTCAAAAAACTTGCCATGCTTCTTACTAAATACCTTGCAGTATCTACTTTCCACAAGTGGGTCATTTTTGGGGATGCTGTACTGTCCTGTCGAGAAATGAGATTTTAGAAAGGTATAGATAATCTGTAGGCTCCATAATTTTCTCACAAACCTGATGTACTGATGGCCTATCTCATTTCTTGACGGACTAACAAGATAGGACAGTACAGATACCCCCCAAATGACCCCTTTTTGGAAAGTAGACATTCCAAGGTATTTAGTAAGAGGCATGGTGAGTTTTTTTTTTTTAAGCTGTAATTTTTTCCCACAATTGTTTGGAATATGGAGAAAGTAAATAAAATTAGTTTTTTTTCACATGATTATCGTATTAACAGGTTTTTCCTCTAACACAGCATATGCATGCTTGCAGCTACACCCCAAAACACATTCTAGCCACATACACAGACCCAACATGCAAGGAGCAGCGTCAGGTGTTCTAGGGGCATAAATTACATGTTTAATTTCCTGACTACCTATTACACTTTTGAAGGCCCTGGTGCACCAGGACAATGGAATTTTCCACAAAATTACCCCATTTTGAGAAGCAAACACCCCAACATTTATTCTATGAAGCATAATACGTCTTTTGAACATGTTTTCATAAAATGTGGAAAGAAAATGAAAACATTTTTTTTTTCTATACAAAGTTGTCCAATTATAAGATATTTGTAACACATAACATGTACATACCAAGAATTACACCCTGCCATGCAAGTAGCAACTACAGGCATTCTAGAGGCATAAATTACATCTGGTACAGATGTGGCTTTGACACTGGTACTGTGTGACAGATGTTGATTACTGGTACTGATGTGGCTTTGACACTGGTACTGTATGACAGATGTTGATCACTGGTACTGTGTGACGAATGTTGATCACTGGTACAGATGTGGATTGGACACTGGTACTCTGTGATGTATGTTGATCACTGGTACTGATGTGGATTTAACACTGGTACTTTGTGGCAGATGCTGATTACTGATACAGATACGGATTTGCACTGGTACTCTGTGATATATGTTGGTCACTGGTACACTGACCTATGTTGATCTCTGGTACAGATCTGGATTGAACACTGGTACTGTGTGACAGATACTGATCACTGGTACTGTGTGACAGATATTGATCACTGGTGCAGATGTGGATTTAACACTGGTATTTTGTGGCAGAAGCTGATTACTGGTACAGTAATGGATTTGACATTGGTACACTGATGGATGTTGATCACTGGTACAGATGTGGATTGGACACTGATACTGTGTGACAGATTCTGATCACTGGTACAGATGTGGATTTGCATTGGTACTCTGTGACAGATATTGATGATTGGTATACTGTGACAGATGTGGATTTGACACTGGTGCACTGACAGATGTGGATCACTGATACAGATGGGGATTTTGACACTGGTACTGTGTGACAGATGTTGATCGCTGGTACAGATGTGGATTTTACACAGGTACTCTATGATATATGTTGATCACTGGTACAGATGTGGATTGGAAACTGGTACTGTGTGAGAGATGTTGATAACTGGTACAAATTTGGTTTTGACACTGGTACTCTGTGACAGATGTGGATCACTGGTACAGATGTGGATTTGACACTGGTTCACCATGACAGATGTTGATCATTGATACGCTGTGACAGATGTGCATTTGACACTGGTGTACTGACAGATGTGGATCAGTGACACAGATGTGCATGACCACTGGTACACTGATAGATGTGGATCACCACTGTGACAGATGTGGGTGACAACTCGCACACTGACCGATGTGGATCACTGGTAGAGATGTGAATGACCAATGGTACACTAACAGATGTGGATGATCACTGTGACAGATGTGTGGGGGACGCTATGTGTGTGTGTGTGTGTGTGTGCTTGAAAACTCACTGGTTCACTTGATGGCAGCATAGATCAGCTCTGCTTCTCCTCACTGGTGGGCTCTGTGTGAGGAGAAGCCGAGCCAATCAACGAACAGGCAGCAATGTTTACATTACATGATGGCTGTGATTGGACACAGCAATCAAGCGATTAGAAGGGCCAATCACAGAGCTATTCTGCTGAGTGGTGGTGCGCTGTGTCCAGTGGACACAGACACACCGAGAGTGCAGAACTGCGAGGACACGTGGCCGCGCATGCACCCACATTATGAGGGAACTTCCACTCAGAACAACAAAGCTCCCACCTGGCCGTTTAAGTGCAGTGGCTAGGTGGGAAGCAGTTAATTGAACAAGGGGTCCCAGTCATATACTACATGTGATCTGTGTGTCTGATTTAACATGTTATAGCTGGCCTGAATCAAATACAAAAAAATGTAGTTGCTATGAACTTGTAGGAAGTTTCCGTCCTAATGCAGTAATAAGGAAGGGTCCAGATGCATCATAACTGTCACAGATTCCCTGACACAGAAAAAAATGGTGTTTTATGGTACAGTTTCTAAAGGCCCTAACTGCTGTGCTGGGCATGTTAATCTTATATCAGGCAGAGCCTATTACTAATGTCCATTAAAGTGAATATATGGGAATCAGTGACCATAACATGATTTTATTTAACCACTTGCCCTCCAGAGGATTAACCCCCCTTCCTGATCTGGCCTTTCTTTGCTATTCGGTGCTGCGCTATTTCAACTGGTAATTGTGCGGCCAGGCAATGCTGTACCCAAATGAAATTTATGTCCTTTTTTTCACACAAATAGAGCTTTCTTTCGGTGGTATTTGATCACCTCTAGGTTTTTTTTTGGGGGGGGGGGGGGGGTTGTGCTATAAACAACCAAATTTGTTTTTTTTTTAAATTATATTTTTTACTTTGGATATAAAAAATATATAGTAAACGCAAAGTTAGTCATAAATTTAGGCAAAAATGTATTCTGCTACATGTTTTTGGTAAAAAAAAAATCTCAATAAGTGTATATTGATTGCTTTGTGTGAAAGTTAAAACGTCTACAAATTATGGTATAGAACTGCAATTTACGCCATTTTTTGCTATACAGCGCTGGACTAGTTTAACTGACAATTGCGCAGTCATGAAATACTGTACATAAATGAAATTTATGTCCTTTTTTCACACAAATAGGGCTTTCTTTTGGTGGTATTTGATCACCTCTGAGTTTTTTTTTCTATAAAGGTTAAAATAGCACCTGGAGCAGATGGCTTACACCCAAGTCTTAAATTAGCTGAGCTCTGTTATATTTAAGCCATTGTTTCTAATTTTTAGAGACTCTTTAACCACTTCAATACTGGCACTTTACCCTCTCCCTAACCGTTTTCAGCTTTCAGTCACACTTTGAATGAAAATTGCACGGTCACACAACACTGTACCCGAACTAGATTTTTATAAAAGATCTTTCACACAAATAGAGCTTTCCTTTGGTGGTATGCTATCACCACTGGGTTTTTTACTTCTTGCTAAATAAACAAAAAAAGACCAGAGGATCTGGAATTAAAAGTACCATTTCAGTCTTTGCAGATGACACCCAAGCAGTGGAATAATGTCCTTACAGGATGTCTCCAACCTATAAGCCGATCTCAATGCACTGTTTAATTGGGAAACTGTACAGCAAATTAGTTATGCACTTGTGAGCTAAAAACATGCCTTATACATTCTAGAAGGAGAACAGCCGGGGAAGTCAATGGTAGAGAATGATCTGCAATGCCAGTTTCCAAAGCAATACTTTATAAAAGAGGTGTAGACTCCAGAGAGAGAGAAAGAGAGAGAGATACTTTTGCCTCTGTACAAGTCATTAGCAACACCTCATCTGAAATATCCGGTTTAATTTTGGGCACCAGTTCATAAAAAATATATCAGAGTACTGGAAAAAGTGCAGAGAAGGGCAACCAAACTGATATGAGCCATGGAGGATCTAAGCTTTGAGGAGAGATTAGCTGAACTTAAATTATTCTCTCTGGAGAGGAGGCAATTGAGGAAGGATATGATCAACATGTATAAAAATATAAGTGGCCTATATAGTGAACTTTGTGTGGAGTTACTCACTTTCAGATCATTACAGAGGATAATGGAAAGGCTTCTTCACAGTGAGAGCAGTGCAAATGTAGAGTAGACTCCAAGATTTAGTTCTGGCCCGCTCAGTATATTGTTTTCAAAAGGAGCTGGATGCACAAAATATAACTGGAATAACTGGATACTAATTTCTAGAGGTAATAACGATCAGGGTTAATTGATCCAGGGAATATCCGATTGCCTCATGGGGGATCAGGAACAAATGTTTCCCCTTTACGGGAGCAAATTGGATCATTCTTTACTGGGTTTTTTCGCCTTCCTCTTGATCAACTGTGGGTATAGGATTGTGTATATGGAAATTTTCTGTTTGTATTTATTTTATTGGTTAAACTAGATGGACTAGTGTCTTTTTTTTTTTTTAACCTGACTAACAGTGTTACTATGTAACCATCTCTATGCTGCCTCCATATACCATTTTCTATGTGCTTGCTTTGTGTAAGTTCCTCAATCATGTTAGATGTAGACAACTAATTTGTTTGTCTATATTACAAACCTGTGGAAAGCTTTTAATTTAGACAATTTTTTTTTCTTTTGGATAAAAGGGTATTCGAAATGCATAAAAATACATCTTATCTGTGCCCCTTCTGTTGTCACAGTCCAACAACTATTTTCTGTTTGTAGAGTGCTTGGCATGTTATATGTTTGCCAACTTCGTCTGAAAGCTTACATGAATCTTAAATCACACATTTGCTAGGACTTTCTGACTATCAAAATGGCTTGTGCAGATTTTCCAGAATGAAGCAACAAGATGATAGATATGAAATGTGGTACAACACAAAAACACATCAGGTACTGTCTTGCAAGCAAATAAGAAAATACAATGACTAACACTGTAATATTGATTTGCCTTTGCAGATTGAAATCCTTATGTACTGCAGTCTGACCAGTCGACAGAAGTTGCTCTATCAGGCTCTAAAGAACAAAATATCCATTGATGATCTCCTTCAGTCCTCCATGGGTACAGCCCAGCAAGCACAGAACACCACCAGCAGCCTTATGAACCTGGTCATGCAGTTCAGAAAGGTAAACTGCCCACACATAGTAACATGCTTCCACTGAAAACATGTTTTGTTTCATCTTTTTTTTTTTCTTTTTTTTTTTTTGTCTGTATTCCTGGATAATCATTCTGACAAGTAGGGCAGTCATACATGTAAACCTATTGGAATATATATCTACGTATATAAAATGAATACAGGTGAAACACGAAAAATTAGAATATCGTGCAAAAGTTCATTAATTTCAGTAATGCAACTTAAAAGGTGAAACTTATATATGAGATAGACTCATTACATGCAAAGCAAGATAGTTCAAGCCGTGATTTGTCATAATTGTAATGATTATGGCTTACAGCTCATGAAAACCCCAAATCCACAATCTCAGAAGCTTAGAATATTACATGCAATCAATAAAACAAGGATTGTACATAGAACAATATCGGACCTCTGAAAAGTATAAGCATGCATATGTACTCAGTAAAGGGGTTGGGCCCCTTTTGCAGCAATTACTGCCTCAATGCGGTGTGGCATGGAAGCGATCAGCCTGTGGCACTGCTGAGGTGTTATGGAAGACCAAGATGCTTCAATAGCAGCCTTCAGCTCTTCTGCATTGTTCGGTCTCATGTCTCTCATCTTTCTCTTGGCAATGCCCCATAGATTCTCTATGGGGTTCAGATCAGGCGAGTTTGCTGGCCAATCAAGCACAGTAATCCCACGGTCATTGAACCAGGTTTTGGTGCTTTTGGCAGTGTGGGCAGGTGCCAAGTCCTGCTGGAAAATGGAGTCAGCATCCCCATAAAGCTCGTCTGCGGAATTAAGCATGAAGTGCTCCAAAATCTCCTGGTAGATGTCTGCGTTGACCCTGTACTTAATGAAGCACAGTGGACCAACACCAGCAGATGACATGGCTCCCCAAATCAACACAGACTGTGGAAACTTCACACTGGACTTCAAGCAAATTGCAGTGTGTGCCTCGCCATTCTTCCTCCATACTCTGGGTCCTTGGTTTCCAAATGAGATGCAAACGTTGCTCTCATCAGAAAAGAGGACTTTGGACCACTGAGCAACAGACCAGGTCTGTTTTTCTTTAGCTCAGGTAAGACGCTTCTGACTTTGTTGTTCAGGAGCGGCTTGATAAGAGGAATACGACATTTGAAGCCCATGTCCAGGATCTGTCTGTGTGTGGTGGTTCTTGATGCATTGACTCCAGCCTCAGTCCACTCCTTTTGAAAGTCCCCAACACTTTTGAATGGCCTTTTCCTGACAATCCTCTCCAGGCTGCGGTCATCCCTGCTGCTTGTGCACCTTTTTCTTCCACACTTTTCCCTTCCACATAACTTTCTATTAATGTGCTTTGATACAGCACTTTGGGAACATCCAACTTCTTTTGCAATTACCTTTTTGAGGCTTTCCCTCCTTATGGAGGGTGTCAATGATGGTTTTCTGCACAACTGTCAGGTCAGCAGTCTTTCCCATGATTGTGATTCCTACTGAACCAGACTGAGAGACAATTTAAAGGCTCAGGAACCCTTTTGCAGGTGTTATGGCTTAATTAGCTGATTAGAGTGGGACACTTTGAGCCTAGAATATTGCACCTTTTCACAAAATTCAAATTTTCTGAGATTGTGGATTTGGGGTTTTCATGAGCTGTAAGCCATAATCATTACAATTATGACAAATCATGGCTTGAACTATCTTGCTTTGCATGTAATGAGTCTATCTCATATATTAGTTTCACCTTTTAAGTTGCATTACTGAAATAAATGAACTTTTGCATGATATTCTAATTTTTTGAGTTTCACCTGTACACTGTTTTGCTGATGTTTTTACTTTATCGTACAGTGCCTTGAAAAAGTATTCATACCCCTTGACATTTTGTCATGTTACAACCAAAAATGTAAATGTATTTTATTGGGATTTTATGTGATAGACCAACACAAAGTGGCACATCATGGGACACAGAGCAGGCTATAATAGTGAATATGTGGGTTATATGCCACTTACAGGTGAATGGACAACGGCTGATCCTCTTACACAGGAAGTACTTCAGTTTTTTCACCAGTGTCTGTAAGGTGGATGGTCACTGAACATGTGCTGCATGTGCTCTGTGAGCATACTTGGAGGTATGGAACGATTCTACTGAAGGTTCAAGGCCTTCAATCAGATCCATTTGAAAAGCTGTTAGCCTAAATGGATGGTACCCGAGCCTTGCTGGATAGGTATAGTATCCTCGGGGTTTTTGCCTGTAATTCGACCTTACGGGGCTGGATCCTGCAGTTTCAGAATGCTGTGCAGTTTTGATTCTGACCAAGATGCCTCCAGCAGGGTTCTATATGGGTCCAAGGCAGTGGCCCCCATTTCAAAGAGGGGCACTGAGTCCTTGAAGGTCTGTAGGACAAGGCCCGTCATGATGGGTGAAGGTTGGTCCCTGCTTAAAGCTCTTGGGCCTGCGGCTGGATTGGTAAGTGTTCTTCTATATCTGTATAAGAAATGGAAGTTAATAGAGGAGACTGCTATGGCAATGCCTGGAAGACCCACCAGGGGGAGTACTTGGTCTGCCTGTACTGCTTATTTTGGCCACTTTTAGTAGTCTGATTGCAGTGTTGAACCACGTGTGTGCACGGGCATGTACGCGCGGGAGCACGCACATGCGCAGTAGCCACAAGAAGACGAAGTTGGCCATATTATTTATATGGGACACTGCCTGGTCACAGATGGGCTGCTGCTGTTGCCATTGCTGCTACCGCTGCTGGACCCTTGAGGGCGGAGTGTGGGGGCTGTGGGTTGGGACTGGGGGGTGGAAGATGGTGATTGTCCGGCTTGTTGGTGTGTGATGACTTCCGCTCTCGCCGGCTCGCTCTAGGTGGGGCCTGCCCATTTATTGACATGGTGACTAAGGCAGCCCCCACCCCTCGGTCCCTATCTGCTGCTCCTCGCACCCTGCTCCCTGTGGGGATGGCCTCGGTGGCTGTGCGGGGGGCTCAAGGGAGAGCACCCAACGGTGGCATGGGCGCGGTCCGGACGGGGCTGTCCCTTGGTCCGGTATTTAGTGACCACTGCAGTAGAGGATCTTGAGGAAGGTCAGGCAATTGATTCTTTGTCAAAGGAGTCACAGCCTGATGAGAAGCAGGGGGCCTCTGCCTCTCAATCACAGAGGTTATTAGTTAAGAGCCTTACAGATATGGTCTGGTCAGGTTTCAAGTTAACCCCACTGGAAGCATCTGACATCTCTTATTCCTCCTGTAGTTGCAGATCAGACCTGCACAACGATCTGGAGTAATTTTGGACCACTCCTCTTCACAAAACTGTTTCGGTTTAGCAATATTCTTGGGATGTCTGGTGTGAATCGCTCTCTTAAGGTCATGCCACAGCATTTCAATCGGGTTGAGGTCAGGACTCTGACTGGGCCACTCCAGAAGGCGTATTCTGTGCTGTTGCAGCCATTGTTTTTGTTGAATTATTGTATGCTTTGGGTCATTGTCCTGTTGCATCACCCATCCTCTGCGGAGCTTCAGTTGGTGGACAGATGGTCGTACGTTTTCCTGCAAAATGTCTTGATAAACTCTGGAATTCATTTTCCCATCAATGACAACAATCCGTCCAGGCCCGGAGGCAGCAAAGCAGCCCCAAACCATGATGCTCCCCCCCGCCATGTTTCACAGTGAGGATGAGGTTTTGATGTTGGTGTGCTGTGCCTTTTTTTCTCCACACATAGTGTTGTGTGTTCTTCTCAAACAACTCGATCTTGGTTTCATCTGTCCACAGTATATTTTGCCAGTAGTGCTGTGGAACATCCAGGTGCTCTTTTGCAAACTTCAAACGTGCTGCAATATTCTTTTTGGACAGCAATGGCTTCCACCGTGGTGTCCTCCTATGTACTGCATTCTTGTTTAATGTTTTCCTTATTGTAGATGTGTCAACAAAAATGTTAGCATGTGCCAGAGATTTCTGTAGGTCTTTAGCTGACACTCTGGGATTTTTTACCTCATGCAGCATTCTGCGCTGTGCTCTTGCAGTCATTTTTACAGGACGACCACACCTAGAGAGAGTAGCAACAGTGCTAAACTTTCTCCATTTGTAGACAGTCTGTCTTACCGTGGACACATGAACATCAAGGCTTTTGGAGATACTTTTGTAACCCTTTCCAGCTTCATGCAAGTCAACAATTCTTGATCGTAGGTCTTCTGAGAGCTCTTTTCTGCAAGGCATGGTTCACATCAGACAGTGCTTCTTCAAACCAGTAAACCCAAAACAGGTGTGTGTTTTTTAAGGGCAGGACAGCTGTCAGCAACACATCCAATATCATCACACTGATTGGAGTCAAGGTTGGCTCACTCCTGGCTCCTCTCTGGGAGAAGTCATTAAGCTAGGGCCTCACATACTTTTTCCTCCCTGCACTGTGAATGTTTACATGTTATGTGCAATTAAACCATGGCAACATCTAAAGTTTGTGTAGTATTATGTTCAGTAGACTGTGTTCTTCTATTGTTGTGACTTAGATGACGTTCAGAGCACATTTTATGCCCAATTCATGCAAAACTCCACGTAATCCCAAGGGGTTCACATACTTTTTCTTGCAACTGTAGCTGTGTCTTCCCTGAATAAGCATTTAACTTGCCCTGTAGATAATGCTCAGGTGATTAAGGATCCAGAAGATAATAAACTAAAATCACTCCTCAAGGCTTCTTTTTCCCTGGCAGGGCCTCTGCACAGCCAGCGGTTGCTGAAATTGGTATCTGTCAAAGTCTGAATGACCATGTAGGGATGTTGAATTCATATTGCCCGACACCCAGGAGTTGTAGTCACGGGCGCCAGGCAGGTAGTTTTTTTTTTTTGTTGTAACTTTAGCCGTGCAAGCAGCAGGGCTCACCTGTCAGGTGGAAGCATGCCTCTTCCACACACCGTGTGAACCTCCCCCCGCCCACTGTTTCCTGGGCTCCACTTGGCCATCTGCGGGCCCGGGACCGGCTCACCACTGTCGGCTAGAGGGGAGGGAGGAGACCAGACACGTCCACTCCCCTCCCCTTCTTGTCCTGACCTGGAAGTGACGTTATGTTGTCACTCCCAGGTTCCCGTTGAGAGATTCCATGCCATCCGATGTGCACTGCATTACATTCAGTGTAGTACAGAGGAGACATCCAGGGTCTTTTAGACCTTGGATATCTCAATAAAGAGAACCTGTCACCAAAAATTATCACACGCTGGGGGAACTATTCATGACAACATCGATTGCAATACACATGTCACATATCGCACACGCCAGAATGAGAGCAATAATTCTAGCATGAGACATCCTCCATAACACTATACTGAGGACCTAAAAGGGGCTTTAAAAGTGTCACCTATAGAAAATATAGGGTACTGACATTCGTCGCCCTTTCACGAATGTGTACAAATTTAAGGTTTGATAAGTTGGTTATCAATTTACTCTTTGCAACCTCATCTTTTATATTTTACAAAAAATAGGGTAATTGTATTGCTTTTTTTGTGCCCTAAAATTAACTAACTTGTATTTTTTACTGAAATTTTGTGGTAATATCATGCGACATAAAAAAATTGCAACTACCACTATTTTATTCTCTAGGGTCTCTGCTTTCAGAAAATATAACATGTTTGGGGGATTTATGTAATCTTCAGGCCTAAAATGATTTTTTTAAACTTGTGCAAAAAATGCAAAAACGGCTCTGGCAGCAAAAGGGATAAAGGTTAAGCTGGACACTTCCCTTCCTGAGGACAATCCAGATCTGCTGTCTCTGGGACCTACAGTATATTGCAGCCAGCTTTATGGTTTCTGAATTTGATGGCATAGCTATCGAGACCCAAATCTTAAAAGAAAGGGCAGTGTCAGGCTCGGTTATCCACACAATGTTGAATGCTAGGAAGCTGGTTTTCTGGGACAGCTTTATTTATTATAGAACTTGGAAGGCGTATATTTCCTGGAGTGAGGTCTGAAAATGGCATCCGCTGAAATATTTGATTGGGAAATTTTCTCTTTTCTTTAATGAGGAGTAGGGAAGAAGTTTGACTGTTGGTACTATTAAAGGTCAGGTTTCAGCTTTGGTCGGTTTTTTCCAAAGACCCATTGCTTCTCACTCATTGATTCATACTTTTTTACGGGGAGTAATGCATACTGTTCCCTCCTGTCAGACAGCCCCTGTGTCCTTGGGATTTGAACTTGGTCTTGGCAGTTTTACAGAAACCACCATTTGAGCCTATCTGGGAAATTCCGTTAACTCAGCTAACTCGGAAGGTTCTCCTTTTGGTGGCAATCATCTCAGCAAGAAGGGCGTTGGAGTTGGCAGCTCTTTCTTGTAGAGAACCATTTTTGGTTTTGCATCACTATAAGGTGGTGTTGTGGCCTCATCTGTCGTTTTTGCCAAAGGTGTTTTCTAGTTTACATTTGAATCAGGACATTGTACTTCCTTCTTGCCCTCAGTCGGCGAGAGAGATCGTTACATGCCCTGGATGTGGTTCGGCAATAATGGTCTTTTTGAGAAGGACGTCGCAGATTTGAAAAGCTGGTTACTTGGTTATATTGCCAGAAAGCCCTAGGAGAGGGCAGGTGGCCTCCAAATCAACTATTTTGTAAGTAAATTTGCCAGTTAATTATTCAAGCCCATGGTTTGAAGAGCAAGGCTCTACCCTTTTTGGTTAAAGCACACTCTACCAGGCATGTGGGGGCATCTTGAGCTATCCGCCACCAGACGTCAGTTGCTCAGGTTTGCAAGGCTGCTACATGGTCTTCAGTTCATACATTCAAAAGGTTTTACGAGGTGGATGTCAGAGCCACTGAAGATTCTGCCTTTGGCCGCAGTGTATTGCGGACAGCTTAGTAAATCCTTTTGGCATTGATGGTGGTGGTAATTGTGATGTCACCCCTCAAGGTTTTATTGCTTTGGGACATCCCTCATAGTAATTATTATAGGCTGCTCTGTGTCCCATGATTTATGATAAAGAAAATTGGATTTTTTTCTACATGCTTACCTGTAAAATCCATTTTTTGAAGTACATCACGGGACATAAATATCCCTTCCCTCTTTCTGGATTTTCATTGCTTGCTACAAAAACTGAAGTACGTCCTGTGTAGGAGGGGGTTATATGGTGGATGACTTCTTCTTTGATTGGTTGGGCAGTGTCCATTCACCTTTAAGTGACATATAACCCACATATTATTATAGCCTGCTCTGTGTCCTGTGATATTCTTCAAGACATAGATTTTGTATTTAAGTATTTAGAAACAATCCAATTTTTTCAATTCTAGATGTACCTCCACCCATTGTTTTGAGTATATTGGGGTAATCCTGTGTACAAAAATATTTATTTTCTTGATTTACCTAAACTGTATACATTTGTGATGTGCTTTCACTAACAGTACAGTTATTCTAATACTCGATTTCCTACATAAAAATTAACCCACCCATTCCTGCCCCAGATGCATACTTACCTTGCTTTCACACAGAAATCCACTTGGCTGATCTTGTACAGTTGTTCCATATAGACTTCTATTGTTCTGTCCCATCATAGGTGGCACAATTGGAGATGGCACCATAGAAGTATAAGGGGAGGGACTGCACAAGTACTCCTAGTGACAAGGTTTTGGAACCCAGTTTGTAAACTGCAATGGCTGTGAGATTTGGGTAATCATCATCTGGGTTGGGGGAGGGATGGGTTAATTATAATGAAGGGGTTAAGAGAGAAGGCCAGTAAATGTAAAGAAGAGAGGATCACCGCTATTCCCGACCAGCCCAGGTGACTAAATGATTGTGGTCTATAACAACACTCTCCCATATTTGTTGCTTATATGTTTTTTATGTGCTCTTTTTTTCCCCATTACAGCTTTAATTCTAATTACTCTTAGCTAGTCAGCACCTGTTTTTCACCTTTTATCACAATCCTCTCCGTGAGGCTTATGATGCATAAAAGCTTGCATCCTGCTCTATGCTCCCATCCAATGACTAAGCCCCTTGGGTGGAGCGAAATGAATCAGGGTGTGGTTTGGTGGAGACATAAGGCCATTCCTTTATTCACCTGGGCTAGTCAGTAGCAGCAGCGATTATTTCCTCTTTACATTTACTAGCCCTCTGGATTGGTATTGGGACAAACCTGCACCCCATGCTCTAGGACAGTGGTCTCCAAACTGTGGCCCTTTGCTTGCCTTTATCCAGCCCTTGGGGCATTATTCCTCCCATTGATACAAAACACTGTTCTGCCAACTGACACCAACAAAAGGGCACCATTTTTCCTACTGACAGCAAAAATGGGGCACTATTCCTCCAAATGATAGGGCACTGTTCCTCCCACTAATACCAAATCTGCCAATGTTTACTCCCACTGATGCCAGGAAAATGTCCATTCCCGCTGGCCGCAGTGCTGCCCCCCTAAAGTTTGAAGGACAATAAACTGGCCCTTAATTTAGAAAGTTTGGATACCCCTGCTCTAGGACAGAGATATTTGCTTTCACCTGTACTTTGAAAACCAAAAGCAATGTAACAGGTTGAAGGGGATAAGACAGTTAAATATAGCTGTACTTTTTTAATGAAAGTGCAGTTGCCCTTTAAGTCACCAGCAGAGTGTATTAAAGGTAAGAATGTTCTTCTTAAGCGTTTACATTGTTAGATAACACAACATTAATCTTCCCTTCCCTAAACACACACCTACACTTCAGTTTAGTGGACTTCACCTTTAAAAATGTTGACTGCTAAAAGAATATGTTGGAGAAGGAAAGATGGTTCTTGGCTACCACATCAGTGTCATCTTTGTTTTATATCCATTTGCTCCTAGGTGTGTAATCACTCTGAACTCTTTGAACGTCAAGAAACTTGGTCACCATTTTCCCTTGCTTTAAGGCCATACAAGGTGTCTAAATTTCTATATCGCCATGGCAATTTAGAATGGTTCAACCACTCACGAAACAGGTGACTATATTAAATAAAGATGTTTTATGGAAGTTTTTGCATATTAGAAAATGAAGTGCCCAATTTTTAACCTCTAAATAGTGATAAAGAATAATGTCCCTTGGCAGTGAAAACCAAGTATGTGGAGGGATTTGATGTGTAAAAGAACACACTGGACTGTTTGGTGGATACTCTAAATAGAGATAAATGATCAAAGTAGGTCCAGGCTGCTCTAACTAATGATAGTGTATGGCCTGCATTTGCATTTGTACAGTGAACCACAAAAAAAAATTAAAAGCTTGGATTGATGGCTTGTGACTTTCATGTCTTTCTTGAATCCGATTGACAGCTCCAACGCTAAAGGCTATAACCTGAGCTGATCTTCTCACAATCTAACAAGAGCAACTGTAAACAAATGCCATTTCAATTAAAGCGTTGGTAAACTCCCCACCTTTTTTAAATGGTCCCTTGAGGTGTTATGCCATGATGTGCTACTATATACCGTATACTAGAACATTATGGTAGACTTACCTTTAAAATGCAACCGTCTAGTGTACGAGTGTCAAACTGGTGGCCCTCCAGCAGTCCCATGAGGCATTGCAAGATTGACAGTTACAAGCATGACTCCCAAAGGCAGAAGCATGATGGGACTTATAGTTTTGCAACAGATGGAGGGCCGCCAGTTTGATACCCCTGCTCTAGTACTAAGCTGTCGCCCTTGCCCGATAACTGGCATTTCTCTCCTCTCAAGCTGTCACGCTGACAGCTCGAGAGGAGAGCCGGTAATCGGCTTTCCGCGGAGGGGACATGTACACTGATCATCAGGGCACTGATAACACTGTTCAACAGGTAAAAAGTTTTGGGCATAAAATTAGCTAATCTTACATAATTTTGGGGTGCTGAAAACCCTGACCCTAAAAAATGTTGATTGGCTCTAGTTTCTATGATATATTCACCCATCTAATGACGTAAGCCATTCAAAATTATGATGCAACTTCAGCTGCATATTGCGCAATTGATACTGGTGACCAATAGAAAATTGCATGTATACTGAGATGATGCAATATTAGCCTTTAATTGCATCACTTCACTGCATAAAAGCTGCAGTATCTGTAGCTGATTGTAGTTGGACAGCGTCTTTACATTTCGTTTTATGCTTATATAGACTCAGTAATGCCTCGAACTTGTGTGAATAAAGCAGATAATTTCTGCTATATCTGCGGTGAAATAACTTTTATCTCACAAAAAAGGAGGGATAACAGGAATGATTAAGAAAGCCTACAACTTGTATTTTGGCTGCAAGATAGGAGACCAGGACAAGAGCTGGGCACCACATATATGCTGCAATTCTTGTGGGACGGCACTGGAGCAATGGTTGAATGGAAAAAAAAGGCATCTATGCCTTTCGCTGTGCCAATGATTTGGAGAGAGCCAACAGATCATGTTAGTAATTGTTACTTTTGTATGGTGCCTCCAATTGTAAAAGGGCTAAATAAGAAGAAAAAGTTATCTGTGCACTATCCAAATATTCCATCGGCAATACGTCCAGTTCCTCATGGAGAGGGGCTACCAATTCCTAAAGCACCAGAATCCTTCGTGGTTGAGTCAAGTGAGGAAGAACCTGAAGCGTGTAGTCACGTGCAGTTGTAAGAGATAGCCCTTTCCTCGAATACAAGAGAAAAGCCAAGAGAAGCAAAACCGACACAAACTGAAGACAAAACTAGTGAGAATCCTAAGTATTAAAATTATTCAACTTAGCTTATGGCTATAATTTTTCTTGGTAATCCTATGCAATATATTATGCCATTTAGGCTTTGTTATGTAGTCAATATCACTTGCTTTATATTTGTGGAAAGACATCTATCTATATAATTATTGTGCATTATGTAGTCATTACGCCTATAGTAGAAAACTTTCCATTTACAGAAAAACTAGAGCCAATTGACAAATTTCATTGTTATATTTGAACTCAGAATGTGAAATTCATTAAGAAATGGATCCTTTTGTTTCCAAAACTGGCAAAAAATAAAAATTTGTTGAACAGTGTAATCAGTGTGCCCTAATGATCAGTGTAACCACAGCAGCGCCACCTGTCAGTGTCCATCAGCGCCTTGTGTCAGTGCTCATCAGTGCCTCGTGCCAGTGCCCATCAATGCCACATATCAGTACCTACCAGTGCACATCAATGCCACATATCAGTGCCCATCTGAGCTGCCTTTCAGTGTCACCCAACAGTGCCAGTCAGTGCCACCTATCAATGCCAATCAGTTCCACCTATCAGTGCTGCCAATCAGTGCCAACTATCAGTGCCGGTCAGTGCCGCCTATCAGTGCTGCCTATCAGTGCCAGTCAGTGCCGCCTGACAGTGCCAGTCAGTGCCATCTATCAGTGCTATGTATCAGTGCTGCCTTTCAGTTCCCATCAGTGATGCCTGTCAATGCCCATCAGTGCCCTCCTCATCAGTGCCACCTATCAGTGTCTTTCAGTGCCCACCACTGCAAGCCTCATTTAGCGCATATGAGTGAAGGAGAAAAATCACTTATTTACAAAATTTTCAGTGGTGGTTTTTGGTTTAAGAAAAAATAAAAAAACCCAGAGGTGATTAAATACCACCAAAATAAAGCTCTATCTGTCACAAAAAATGATAAAAATTTCATATGGGTACAATGTTGTATGACCGTGCAATTTTCATTCAAACTGCGACAGCGCTGGAAATTGGCCTGGGCAGGAAGGGGGTATAAGTGCCCTTTAGGCTAGCGGTCAACATTTCATGTTTCTGTTTCTGTGGTGCATTGTGGTTTGTGGGGTTTTTTTTTTTTTTAAAGAATTTAGTTCCTTTAAGAATTAAAGTGCTAAAGTTAAGATTCTAACAACACAAGACCCCACGCTTTGGAGTGTAAGACCAAAAAATTCAATATAATGAAAATACAAATAAAAACCTAAGCACTATTAAACATATGAAATACACATGTGAATAAATTATTTTAAGAATATGTTTCTGTAGTGTAGTGGTTATCACATTCGCCTCACAAGCGAAAGGTCCCCAGTTCAAAAAAACGGACAGACACAATGCTTGAATTTATTGTTAAATAGCCAGTCACAAAGATAAAAACAAATGGCGCTTATCACATCAAATAATGTCTTCAGGCAGTTCTGTACAGTGCTCACATCAGTCTCTCACCACCTCCGGAACCCTCAGGCACTTCTACCACGTCATTTCCGGTTGCCGTGTAGACACTTCTGATGCGTTTTGTCCAGGCCCAGACTGGCCATAGGGCACACCAGGCTTATGCCTGGGGGTCAGGGCCGCCAGGCTTAAGAAGAGCGCCTGTTGATGACCAGGCCGCACATCAGCAGGTAAGTGGCGACCGCGGTCTCGTCAGAGCTAACACAGACTGCTGCCACCACTCACCTCCCGCTGTATGGCTATGCTCAAAGCAGGGCTGACAGGAGGAGCAGCAGTGATGGCTACAGCGACAGGCAGAAAGCGCCACCGAGGACAGCTGCACTGAAGGAACAATGGTGGCCTCTCTCCTTCACCCACCGGCACCTCGTGACAGCTCAGCGGTGGATTGGGCTGTCTCTTTGCTGGACGGGCTGTCTCTTTGCTGGGCTGGATGTCTTTTTTTCTGCGCTGGATGTCTTTTTTTTCTGCGCTGGATGTCTTTTTTTCTGCGCTGGATGTCTTTTTTTTCTGCGCTGGATGTCTTTTTTTTCTGCGCTGGATGTCTTTTTTTTCTGCGCTGGATGTCTTTTTTTTCTGCGCTGGATGTCTTTTTTTCTGGGCGGGATGACGCTTTGCTGGACAGGATGTTGCTTTTCTGGACAGCTGTCTCTTTGCTGGATGGGCTGTCTCTTTACTGGTTGAACTCTTTGCTGGATTTGCTGTCTCTTTACTGGTTGAGCTGTCTCTGCTGGACGAGCTGTGTCTTTGATGGGCAGAATGTCTCTTTGCTGGATGGGCTGTCTCTTTGCTGGATGGGCTGTCTCTTTGCTGGATGAGCTGTCTCTTTTGCTGGATAGGCTATCTCTTTGCTGGACGAGCTGTCTCTTTTGCTGGGCGGGCTGTCTCTTTTGCTGGGCGGGCTGTCTCTTTTGCTGGGCGAGATGTCTCTTTTGCTAAACGTGATGTCTGTTTTGCTGTATTGGGCTGTCTGCTGTATTGAGCTTTCTCTTTGCTATATGGGGATGTCTCTTTATTGGATTGGGCCATCTCTTTGAATACATAGGGGCACTGTAATGTAAAGGGGCACTATGATATAAAGAGGACTGTGCTGTAAAGGGGCACTGTAATCAATACAGTGCCCCTTTACAGTGCAGTCACCTTTATATCACAGTGCTCATTTACATTACAGTGCTGAGGACCAACTCCGCAACTCCATGAATATTCCAGCACCAAATGCCCCGCAAACGCCCCTACACCCCCCCCCCGGGGGAATTGGCCGTGCAGTCCAAAAAATGCCTATTTTTTTACTCGCAATCTGGGCCTGGTTTTGTCCTTCTGACTTTGTCATAGAGGGTGCACTATGCTTACCTTTGCAGAACAGTCCATCCACTGTGGCTGTTGTAAAACAATGCAGCAGCTTGCTCTACATACAACAAACACCACTTTCCTCCTACCCTTGTACTAGACACTTCCCTTCTGCACCTGGAAAGAACAGAGTCAGTCATGCAGCATTTCAGCCATTCAGTTTTGTACTTTTATTAATGAATAGAATGCATTCTATTCTATTAGTTAAGGTGAAGAGGTGGGCGGCTTACGTTATGATCTTCACCTGAAAATTCAATCAGAGAATGTTGCTGTATGTACTGTATGCAATGTATTACAGCATTCACAGTGGTTGGATAGTTATGCATAGGTAAGTGTTCATTTGAACCATTGTGACCCAAAACAAACTTTTTTTTTTTTTCTCCGATGCGAGAATGCAGTTAAAAATGAAAATGGCCAGTAGAACAATACAAAATGTACAGCATGCAGTTTGTTGGTATAGTTTGAGAATCAGGTATCAGTGCTGGGTCAAAGGATGGACATAGGGAAACAAAAAGAGGGATGGTGGTCAGTCTAATAAATAGCAGATAATGGAAAGAGGGGAGGCCTTAGCTGTTAAAGCGCAAAATATATTTTTGTTTTAAGTGGGGTGTAGGTCATAAATTGATTAACAGTCTGGTTTGAAACCATTGGGTATGTTGAAAACATTGTTCTATCAATTGTTGGGTATCCTAAGCAAGGTTTGAATGAAAGATTCCCAGATATCAAAGAATTTTTGGACCCGTGGCTCTTTATGTAAGGAGGCCTCAACCCATTCCATGCGGAAAATGTAAGATAGTTTTTCTATAAACAAAGAAATGGTGAATGGTTCTGAGAAGATCCACGTATGTAAAATGGTGTTTCATGCTACAAGGGATATTATTATTATACAGGATTTATACAGCGCCAACAGTTTGCTCAGCGTTATATGACAGTTGGTAGCTGTTTACATCCTCTGGAGATTTTAACCACTAGGATGTTGATTTGGCCTAAAGAGTGCCCATTCAGGGGTTAGAGTTAAGTAAATTACTATGTGTGGTTGCATAATGCACAACTATGTTCCAAAATCGTTTAGCTAAGCAAACTTTAAAGTCACAGTAACCATGGAGTTCTTCGGTAAACTAAATTTTCTACATTAAATGCCTTTCCACAACTAAAATAATACACAGCATGCCCAATCATATCTAACAAATAACTAAATTTTAAAGATGTATTAATGTTCCACCATATCCTGACTATTGTTTTGTTTTTATTTTTTTAATATATATATATACATATATATTTATATATATATATATAGGTGGCTGCGCATCCTTCTTTCGCCATTTGCACCTGATCACATTCAGCAATCACTCTTCCATAAAAACCGTAAGTAATTGTTTAATGTTCCAGTGTTTCTGTAGTTATGCTTTCTAGTCCTGGGTTGTTTAATTATCATAATAATGTTTACACGGAAGAAAATCTATGGTATTACTAAGGTAAATGCAGTATAGGCAAGTAGAATTGTGTAAACATAAGATAAACACTTCTCATAGTGTAGGTGTCATCAAACACTGTTTATTAAGACTGCACTTACAAGCATAATATACTTCACCTGCTATAGAAATATGTGGTATATGTGCAGGACCCAAAAATATAAATGTAATTATCACCAAATCAATTAATTTAACCGTGTAACCAATAAATATAATAAAAAACAAAAATTGTATGATTTGCACTTTAGAGAATACAAAACAGATGAAGTGCATGTCATTTGTGTCTGTGATTACAGGAGAAGAATATGAAAAATAGTAGTTCATCACTTGTAATACGTTTGCTACTGAAGGTTTACCATCTTTTCTTGTTGAGGCTATTTTTTCTTCAGTGAAGGCTTCATGTACATGCTGCTAAGCTAGGCTCTTTATGCAGATATCCAGACTGGTGTCTCCTCAGCGGTAGCTTTGGATACCCTACCTGGACTCAGTGTACCAAAGATTTTAGGGCCTGCCTAGAATGGGACCTTTGAGCTCTTGGCTTTGCTTGTGGTGCTTTCCAGACATCTGTGCACTGTACTTGTTACCTGCAGAGCACTTTAAAGGGCCAGACCCATGGCACAGCCTCTGGTGTGACCCAGTGTGTAAAGTGTGTTTTTGTACCTTTGCATGCTATTTTTACCACCTGTTTTTATTGGTTTCTATAGAAAGGGTTAACAGGGTGAACAGTTAAGTTCTGCATCAATAACTGAAGGTTTGCGTGCTCCATGCTCTGTTTCTGCCTTTTGAGTATGATGTAGCTGCTTCCCGCCATTGTTCCTATTTGCAAGAGATGTGGTTCTACCTCGGTTGATGCTTGCTGCCTCCTGCAGTGACCTAGTCACTTCACTCATTTGAGCCTCTTTAGCTTGCTTTCAGCAGCTGGTTTGTGAGTACCCATAGTTTTAAACCTGGTGTTCTCAGTTAAGTTGTGTCTGTTAAACAGTAGCGTGTAGAATCCCAAGTGCAAGGGAAGTAGTTCTACTGCATCAGGTCTCTCCAGCTCACCATCAACTAATAGGCACGATATCCTGGATCATTATCCCTTGTTTTGAATCAGTACACTAATTTTTTAGCTATATCAGGTGTGGTTCCCTCCTCTGCCTTATCCAGGAATGAGTTCTCTGTAATTATGTTTGAATTTATCGGCCAAATTTGAACTACACTTCCTTGAAAAAGTATTCATACCCCTTGAAATTTTCCACATTTTGTCATGTTACAACCAAAAACGTAAATGTATTTTATTGGAATTTGATGTGATAGACTAACACAAAGTGGCACATAATTGTGAAGTTGAAGGAAAATAATAAATGGTTTTCAATCAAAGTCAATACTTTGTAGAACCATCTTTCACTTCAATTACAGCTGCAAGTCTTTTTCGGTATGTCTCTACCAGCTTTGCACATCTAGAGAGTGACATTTTTGCCAATTCTTCTTTGCAAAATACAGTTGTGTCCAAAATTATTCAACCCCCAATGCTGTAAAGGGGTTTAGGGACTATAGTGTACATTTGGAATTGTATTCAGAATCAAATCCTACAAGGACGTTGTAACTACCCAAATGCAACTAAAATGACATCAATTGTTTATGTAATACAGTAGTAAATGGTTCTTATGTGGTTTCTTCATTGCCACAATTATTCAACCCCTTAAAGACTACCACTCTGAAGAACAGAGGTTCATACAGGTGCTTTCCATCAGGTATTGAAAACACCTGTGGATGTCACCGAGCAGCAATCAAGCATAATAAGCACCAATTAGGCAGCTTTAAAATGACTGTGATACTCAGCTCCTTCTAGACATTTACTGGTGTGGTTACAAACATGGTGAAGGCAAGAGAATGGTCCAGGAAGACAAGAGAAGAGGTGATTTCTCTTCACAGGAAGGGCAATGGCTATAAGAAGATTGCAAAGATGTTAAACATACCAAGAGACACCTTAGGAAGCATCATTCGCAAATTCAAGGCAAAGGGCACTGTTGAAACGCTACCTGGTCGTGGCAGAAAGAAGATGCTGACTTCGACTGCTGTGCGCTACCTGAAGCGTAGAGTGGAGAGAAGTCCCCGTGTGACTGCTGAGGAACTGAGAAAAGATTTGTCAGATGTGGGTACAGAAGTTTCAGCCCAGACAATAAGACGCACACTGCGTAATGAAGGCCTCCGTGCCAGAACTCCCAGGCGTACCCCCTTGCTGTCTCCAAAGAATAAGAAGAGTCGACTGCAGTATGCCAAAAGCCATGTGGACAAACCACAAAAGTTGTGGGATAGTGTTCTGTGGACTGATGAAACAAAATTAGAACTGTTTGGGCCCATGGATCAACGCTATGTTTGGAGGAGGAAGAACAAGGCCTATGATGAAAAGAACACCTTGCCTACTGTGAAGCATGGTGGAGGGTCAATCATGCTTTGGGGCTGTTTTGCTTCTGCAGGTACAGGGAAGCTTCAGCGTGTGCAAGGTACCATGAATTCTCTTCAGTACCAGGAGATATTGGATGGAAACGTGATGCAGTCCGTCACACACCTGAGGCTTGGGAGACGTTGGACCTTTCAACAGGACAATGATCCCAAGCATACCTCCAAGTCCACTAGAGCATGGTTGCAGAGGAAAGGCTGGAACATTTTGGAGTGGCCATCGCAGTCACCAGACTTAAATCCGATTGAGAACCTCTGGTGGGACTTAAAGAAAGCAGTTGCAGTGCGCAAGCCTAAGAATGTGACTGAACTGGAGGCCTTTGCCCATGAAGAATGGGCGAAGATACCCGTAGATCGCTGCAAGACACTTGTGTCAAGCTATGCTTCACGTTTAAAAGCTGTTATAACTGTAAAAGGATGCTGTACTAAGTACTAAGATTGAATGTCACTTGGGGGTTGAATAAAACTGATAATGCTGTGAGCACAGAAAAGACATTTGTGGTTATTTCATTATAACTGTTATGTTATATTTGTCTGACCTACAAGTGCCTCTTTAATGTAAATGTAAGCAAGATGACTGAATGATCAAAAGCAATGTCAAACTGGCCAAAACACTCAATTTCAGTGGGGGTTGAATAATTTTGGACACAACTGTAGCTCAAGGTCCGTCAGATTGGATGGTGAGCATCTGTGAAAAGCAATTTTCAAGTCTTGCCACAGATTTTCAATTGGATTTAGGTCTGGACTTTGACTGGGCAATTCTAACACATCAATCTTCCTAGATCTAAACCATTCCATTGTAGCTCTGACTGTATGTTTAGGGTCGTTGTCCTGCTGGAAGGTGAAACCTCTGCCCCAGTCTGAAGTCTTTTGCAGACTCTAACAGGTTTTCTTTTAAGATTGCCCTCCATACATCTTCCCATCAACTCTGACTAGCTTCCCTGTCCCTGCTGAAGAAAAGTATCCCCACAACTTGCTTTTATGCCAAAAAGTTAAATTTTGGCCTCGTCTGACCAGAGCACCTTCTTCCACATGTTTGCTGTGTCTCCCACATGGCTTCTCGCAAACTGCAACTGGGACTTCTTATGGCTTTCTTTTAACAATGGCTTTCTTACCACTCTTCCATAAAGGCCAGATTAGTGCAATGCATGACTAATAGTTGTCCTGTGAACAGATTCTCCCACCAGAGCTGTGGTTCTCTGCAACTCCTCCAGAGTTACCATGGGCCTTTTGGCTGCTTCTCTGATTAATGCTCTCCTTGCCTGGCCTGTCAGTTTAGGTGGATGGCCATGTCTTGGTCGGTTTGCAGTTCTGCCATACACTTTCCATATTCTGATGATGGATTGAACAGTGCTTTGTGAGATGGATAAAGCTTTATTTTTTTTTATAACCTAACCCTGCTTTAAACTTCTCCACAACTTTATCCCTGACCTGCTTGTTGTGTTTCTTGGCCTTCATGATGCTGTTTGTTCAGTAATGTTCTCTAACAAACCTCGGAGGGCTTCACAGAACAGCTGTATTTATACTGGGATTAAATTACACACAGGTGGACTCTATTTACTAATTAGGTGATTTCTGATGGCAATTAGTTCCAATAGATTTTAGTTAGGGTAAAGGGGGCTGAATACAAATGCACACCACACTTTTCAGATATTTATTTGTAAAAAATGTTGAAAAACATTTATCATTTTCCTTCCACTTCATGTGCCACTTTGTGTTGGTCTATCACATAAAATACATTTACGTTTTTGGTTGTAACATGACAAAATGTGGAAAATTTCAAGGTGTTAGGAATACTTTTTTAAGGACACTGTATGTTTACTGACTCGGAATGAAGAGGATGCAACCATACTTCTGTATGCTTTCTTCTCCAGAATCAGAAGTGTCAGACATCGCTGTAGCTGTAATGGCCCCCTCAAGACTTCTGTTTCTGAGGCTCTGTCTTACAAAGAATCTTGCAAATTTTTTATGGCTGAAATTGTTTCTGGGGAACTGCAGCCAGGTGCCATAGCTCCCATACATAACATTTTAGTTCCTATCAATGTAGTTCACACCACCTTAAAAATGGAGTAGCATTACCCCTCTAGCTTTCGTTTTCTACGATATTTCCTTCCTCATTTGCTTGCCATCCAAGTTTCATGGTTATCTTTTGTATGAAGTCCCCAACAACACCATACTGTCTTAGTATTCTTCTTTTTCCCATGTACCTACAGAGGTGCAAATTTTTTAACTTAAATAAAGGAATGCGCTAAAACCACAAACTATTCCTAATTTAGTGTAGAAACATTAGTGCAAAAGATATATATATCTATTCTCAATTAATATCAAAAAATATCAAAATTATGTGCAAAACTATTTTTTAGTGCATAAGTAATTTAAATAATTAAATTTGTGAATATAAAAAAAATGTCCAATTCTGAATTTCTTCAAATGTCCAAACAAATCCTTTTCAAATTCAGGTGCTCTCAAAGAAATTGTGCCAAAATCCACCACCAAAAGTAAAGTTAGGTAACTCACCAGAGCTCCATGCTGATCAATCTCTAGATCAGCAAAAAACGCTTTTTGCTCTGGGAGCAGATGCAATGAATCAACTTTTCAGGTGTGATGATCATAGCTACACAATCATCCATAAGGTAGGTATCCACCACTCAATATAATGGTTCCAGGAGCATTATATCACTCTCTCTTTTTAGATCTCTCCACCGAGGTCATGTTTGGGAATGAAAAAGAAAATCATGGTGCAGCCAGTTTTTTTTTAAAAGTATCCAACAATTTAATAAAGATTTACACTCACAAAAAGGGTGTCTTCACCGACATCAGTATAACAGCATAAAACAGCAAATGGTATAACAGTCTCCTGTTCCCCGTACACTCACTACAGCGCTCGTGACTTAATTTGCTCCACAAACGTCAGCATCCAGCAAGCCCTACTAGTTTCGTCATGAATGACGTCTTCAAGGGGCGGTCTCTGGTGAGTTACCTAACTTTACTTTTGGTGGTGGATTTTGGCACAATTTCTTTGAGAGCACCTGAATTTGAAAAGGATTTGTTTGGACATTTGAAGAAATTCAGAATTGGACATTTTTTTTATATTCACAAATTTAATTATTTAACTACCTGCCGACCGCAGATAGCCGAATGACGGCTGCACTGCGGCCGGCCAGTTCTGGGTGGACGTCATATGACGTCCCCCCAGAACGCGCTCTCCTGCGCACCCCAGGGGGCGCGCACCCGGCGATCTCCGTGATCGCTGTGTCCTACGGACACAGCTGATCACGAGATGTGGTAAAAGGCCGATCATACCGGCCTTTTACCACGTGATCAGCGGTGTCCAATGACACGCTGATCACAGGGAAATGCAAGTGCCGGTTCTCGGCTGCACTTTCCTCACGCTGTCAGATCGTGAGGAAAGTACTGCCGAGAACCGGCAGTTGTCAGAGCGGGGATCGGCACCGATCATCAGGGCACTGATGATCAGTGCCCTGATGATCGGTGCCCAGCAGTGACACCCGCAAGTTCCGCCCAGCAGTGCGCCCACTAGCTCCGCCCACCCGTGCCCAGCAGTGCACCCACCTGTGCCCAGCAGTGCACCCACCTGTGCCACTCTGCAGTGCCACCTACCTGTGCCCAGAAGTGCCACCTACATGTGCCCACCTGTGCCCACCCACCTGTGCCCACCAGTGCCACCCACCTGTGCCCACCCACCAGTGCCGCCCACCAGTGCCGCCCACCAGTGCAGCCCAGCAGTGCTGCCAGTCAGTGCCACCAGTCAGTGCCCAGGGGTTGTGCCAGTCAGTGCCGCCAGTCAGTGCCCAGCAGTGATGCCAGTCAGTGCCGTCTATCAGTACCCATAATCAGTGTCACCTATCAGTGCCGCCTATCAGTGCTGCATATCAGTGCCGCCTATCCGTGACCCCTAATTAGTGCTGTCTATCAGTGCCGCCTATCCGTGCCACCTCATTAGTACTGCCTATCAGTGCCCTTTAGTGCTGCCTATCAGTGCCACCTATCAGTGCCCATCAGTGCTGCCTCATCAACGCACATAAGTGATGGAGAAAAAATACCTGTTTGAAAAACTTTATAAAAGAAACAAATAGACTTTTTTTTTTTTTTTTCAAATTTTTTGCACTTTTTTATTTATAGCGCAAAAAGTAAAGCGCCCAGTGGCGATTAAATACCACCAAAAGAAAGCTCTATTTGTGAGAAAAAAATGATCAAAATTTCATATGGGTACAATGTTGCATGACCGCGCAATTGTCAATCAAAGTGCGGCAGCGCTGAAAGCTGAAAATTGGCCTGGTAAGGAAGGGGGTATAAGTGCCTGGTAGGCAAGTGGTTAAATTACTTATGCACTAAAAAATAGTTTTGCACATAATTTTGATATTTTTTGATATTAATTGAGAATAGATATATATATCTTTTGCACTAATGTTTCTACACTAAATTAGGAATAGTTTGTGGTTTTAGCGCATTCCTTTATTTAAGTTATAGCACTAAGAAATTTATTTGGTTTCTTTGAGGTGGAATTGCTGCTTTAAAGTATTAAGGGTGTGGCGCTTTTATTACACTTGTGTTAGAGGTGCAAATTACATTAACAAAATGTGCTTGGAAGGTGTTTTTTATAATTGATATTTGTTACACCACTAGATCTGTGGGCTTAGTGTTTGAAATCTGTTTGCTTTCAAAGGCTGGTATATACACAAGATGTATTACTCTGATGTCATTTACATTGGTATGTCATTTCTTCTCTTTCTTTCCTCTTTTATTTTTCCTGTATGTTGACTTTGTATGACAGAACCTTTAAATCAATAAAAACTGATTATACATAAAGGATGTCACAGAGAGTAGAAATACTCATTTGCCCCAGTGAAAGAAGTCTATGGCTCACACAGGAGAGATTCCTTCCTCCTTCTGAGGCCAGGAAGATTCCCTTGCATTACTCCCAGGCTTCAACCTCCAAGATTAGACCAAAGCCAGGACCCCAATTCAGTTACAAACCCCAGCCCTTTAAATCTCCCAAATGAGTCCTTTTCATCATGAAGAAAAAAAACAACACACTTTTCTAAGTGAGGAGACTTCTGTTGGCCTTTGGGGACTTTTGTCAGAAAGCAACTCCAGATGCCTGGATACGTAGATACCCACTATAGTAGATTCCCACTATTTTAGGCCAGCATTCTGTTCTATGCTCACTCCCAGGTTCATGCTATCCAACCTGCGTGTGTTCCCTCATAAACTGGCAGACCTCTTTGCAGCTTTCTTAAGGTATGGAGTTCCTGCAATCATTCCAGTGGCATAAAAGGTTTCAGGGGTTTTACTTCCACTTTTTCACTGTTACTAAACCAAAAGGGGTCATCTATCCCATACTGGATGTGAAGACTTTAAATGTCTTCATATGAGTCCAGAAATTTAGCATGGAATCCACCAGGTCTGTTATAGCTTTCTTTCAGTTAGGGAGACTTTCTAGTCATGTTGGATATGTACATAGCATGCTTGCATGTCCCTATCTTTCGAGTGCATCAATGCTACCTCTGTTTTACAGTGGGCATACAGTACTTCCAGTTTTATAGCCTTTCTATGTGTTCTGTCTGCCGCTCCTGAGTGTTCACTAAGGTAGCCTCACTATGCTTCCAGGGTATTCTAACTGTTGGATACCTGGATGACCTCTGCTGTGGGAAGGAGTTGGCACAAATACTCATCATCAATGTGTTGGGAAAGTCCAGACCCTAGAACGGTTTAGTAGGATCCTGATCCTAGTCTTAGACACAGCTGAAGTCAGAGTTTTTCTTTTCCAAGAAAAGCTTCTAGCATTCTGTTCTCAGATTTGAACTCTAAGGCCCAGGAGCCATCTGACTCTGCAATTCTGCATGAGAATTCTAGGCCTGATGGTACTCCTCTTCCAGGTAGTTCCATTTGCTCAATTTAACTCCAAACTCCTGAATCACAACATTATGTCGGTTCAGTCTGTAGATAAACCAGGTTATCTGTGGTCTGGTGGCTCAGGGATCCAACTCTGGAAATGCTTTCTCCCACTGTCTTGGAAGATCACCAAAATACTGTAGATGCCAGCCTGAAAGACTTGGGTGGAGTCCTAGAAAGGAGTTGGTTGACAGACAAATCTCATCTCCCAATCAACATTTTGGAGATCCAGTTTTCCTAACAGTGGACACCCTGATTGGTTGGTCATCTGATCAGGGTCCAGTCAGACAATATCACTGCAGTAGTATACATCAATCACCAGGAAGAAACCTGAGGTCTTGTCATGGCAAGAGAACGAGAAAGGTTTCTAGGCTGGGTAGAATGCCAAGTTCCAGCTTTGTATGCTGTTTACATTCTTGGAATGAAAAAATTGTTAGCAAACCACCTTAGCTGCCAGCATCTGGATCCAAGGGAATGGTCCCTAAACCCAGAAGTGGTTCAGAACCTATGTGGCAGATGAGGACACCAAATGTGGAAATCCTGCCCTTCAAGTTCCACAACAAACTGGACACACAAACTGAGCTGTGCAATTACGCGAACATTTGGATACAGGAAAAAATGTTTTTACACTGTGATTTATTGCCAGCAGTGTACAGCGAATCAATCTGCAGTCTTCCCTCTATACCTAAAACTAAAAAAAAAAAAAAAAGTAGACTGTAGATATACTTTAAAATGACTCTTGCCATGTTCATGTCTTAATGTCACGATCAACCTATCTCTGTACTTGTTCTAGGTCAGCAATACAGAGAGCATTGCAGTCAAAGCATCAGACTGAAAGCCAGGAACTAGCATCCTTGAAGGAGAGTTCAGTAATGGCAACCTCTAGTAATCTCTCATGACCGTGTCTCCTTAATTTGTCCTAACGTTTGTACCTTTAAGAAGAATTGGTGAACATGGCAAACTGCATCTACTTGGAATTGCTTTTAGTATTAATATTTAACCTAATATATTGTCTGTTTTATTTCACAGGGTCAGACCAAGAAAGCTGCTTTTCTTTTCTTCGATTTATTGATGTCTCTCCAGCAGAAATGGCAAATTTAATGCTTCAGGGACACCTAGCCAGGTATCACGGAACGGTCCATGGGATGTACATCAAAACCTTTAAATTGCTGCATCTTCATAAAAGTATATTGCAGAACCAATGTACAGGGTATAGTTAGTTACATTTAGTTTATCACTGAATATTTGCTTTTGCTTTCTGTTTCAATGGAGTATCTCTCCTGAAACCTTCAGTTTATGGTGTTTGTTTGTTGTGTGGTTTATTATGCTACATGCAAGGTAAAATATTTTCTGCCATATGTAGGACTTTGATTAAGACACTGCTTACCATTGGTAAGTAGGTTACAGACTGTGTTTTACAACACAACATTAGCATGTTTTAGTGGGTATACATTACCTTTCCTCTTTTTTTAATATATTATAAGAATCAAGAAAGACTTTGTACATTCAAACACAGAGCATGGCTTGAACCTGTAACCCTCTCTCATCTCATTGACCCACTGGCTGTGATTAACAGCTCTGTGAGTCAATGAGGAGGGAGAAACTGGGGAGAGCTGCAGCTCTCATGCACATCGCTGAATCAAGATGGGGCTCAGGTACGTATAAGGGAGGGACTGAGGGGGAAGCTTTACCTAGAAGGGGTTTTTTTTTACCTTAATGCATAGAATACATTAAGATAAAAAAAAAAACTTCTACCTTTAGAGCAACTTAAATTTTAACAGTTTTATGTTAACTAAATCTTTATGGCATCATTCTTGCTTGCTGTAGTTTTAATATAGATTGTTTGTGACCACTGAAAACGCACAAGATTGCACTGGTGTTTATAGGACATAATTCTGCTTCTAGGGATCTGACAAGGGCTAGTATACTATGCACAATTCTACACTTTCATAAATCAAGATCAGCACAGTCTAATCAGATATGTGGAAGTGCTGTGTTTATAAAATACTACATCCCACCAAACAGCTAATCATGTGAATATTCAATTAGTATATATTGCATGGTAAAAGAAAACCAAAGTGTAAAGATAATTAACCACAAATATATAAAGTGCCACAGAATCCATTCTGCCTGTGAACTAGTTAACAGTCCCAAAATATCCAATCTCAGTGCTGAGATACATGCAACTCTTCTCCAAAATTACCATGTGTAGGAAAATCCCACTGCCCCACACTTAGTAGCACTCACCAACTCAAGTAAATCCAAGTAAATGATAAGCGATTGCGCTTCTATGATTCTACACTGTACTTACAATGTATACATCGCACCAGTATAATTTGAACACACTGACCACTTAATCTGCATATAATTTTTGCTTTCTACCCATCCCTTTTGTTTGTATAACTGCATGTGGTAAATGTGTACTACATACATGCAGCTATGCAAATGATTAGCACACTTTCTTAATAGATTTACATAATCATATTTTTTTTTTCAGATGGTTAGCCCTTTTCCTGTCTCTGAAAGCTGCCTATAGGCTCCACCATATTCGTTTCTGGAAGGAGAAGAGCAAGTCTGAAACTACACACACCTACCTGTCCAAAAATGATTTCATCCTCTGTGTCAACTTCCCACTTTCCTTTCCCAGCATCCACAGTTCTCCTAACTTAAAGGTAAGTTAGTTCCTTTTTTTCCATTATTTCTCCTTTCTTTTTACCTGGTGAGGTTGTCACTAACTCATTTCCTGTTCTAGTGTGATTACACTCACAATATTATATATGTTCAAATATCTTCACCATTTGAACATTTGTTATTTATCTTAATTTATATCTTTTCACTTACACAGAAAAATAGGATGATTTGATTCTGTGTTACATTTATCAGTGGCCTCACTAGGGTTGGTTTCACCTGGTGCTATAAAACATGTCACCCCCAACCTACAAATTAATAGTTTCAGGCCTGCAGTGCACAGTCACGGTGCACAGCCCATCCCAGCACCCACCTATATCCGGGCTTGGTACTAAGGTTGTCATCTTTTATATTGTAAAGCTCTGAGCAAACTGTTGGCGCTATATAAATCCTGTATAATAATCTTTTCTTGAAGCAAACAGAGCTCACAGTTGCTTTAACAGTGGGAGAGGCTTAAATTGGCATGGTTAAACAAAAGCATTCTTGGGCCCATAAAATATGCGTAGACTGCTGTGAGTTGGACTCTCACAGACATGTATAAACCTTAGCACAATATTTTTTTTTTTACTAAAACTCTTTCATTACACATGATTTTGTGTACACTGAACCAGACAGGTGCTCTGTGGAGGGGAGGGGCTGGTGCTTTGTGGAGGGGGGGGGCTGGTACTTTGTTGGGGGAGGGGTGGTGCTCTGTGAAGGATAAGACTGGTACTCTGTAGATGGGGGCTGGTTTTCTGTGCAGGGAACACTGATGCGCTTTAGAGGGAAGGAGGGACTGTGTAGGCTGGAGGCTAAAAGAGGTACGTTAGGCCCCTTTTACATGAACATTCTGATTGGGCCCACCAGTTTTTCAGGAGAACTCTGTGGAGCGACGGGTGTAAACGGACATATGTCCGTTTACACCCGCCTACATCCAATCCGATCCTATAAAAACAGATGGATGGGGGATCCGTTTCCCTTCTGTCCAGCGGATGGGATGTTAGTTGGGTGTAAATGGACAGGTCCGTTTACATCCAACTCCCCATAGAGGAGAGCAGAGCGGACAGGGACCTGTCAACAGCCTGCTCAGCAGGGATCAGCTGACAGATTCCCTACTGAGCAAGTGGATTGCAAGTGGAATCTGTCCCGTATGAAAGGACCTTTAGGCTCATTTTAGGGATGGATCTTTTTTATGGTAGACTTAGGCAGGAAGTTTGTTTGTAACAGAACTGAGTTGTCACAAATGATCCTATTAGCAGAGCAGGAGATTGTATAACTAGAGCAGCCTGTATATATGAGTTACAGCACTCACCTCTTTCATGGCTTCCCTGCCGTGATATAGTACTTCACACTGATATACATTACACCCTGTTCCAAATTATTATGTAAATTATATTTTTCTCATTTACCTAAATAATTGATGTAATAACAGTCAGCATAATTCTCATGTTATCAACTATTAATTACTTGCCGACCGCAGATAGCCGAATGACGGCTGCACTGCGGCCGGCCAGCTCTGGGTGGACGTCATATGTCCACCCAGAACGCGCTCTCCTGCGCGCCCCTGGGGGCGCCTACCCGGCGATCTCCGTGATCGCTGTGTCCTACGGACACAGCTGATCACGTGACATGGTAAAAGGCCAATCACAGTGGCCTTTTACCACGTGATCAACCGTGTCCAATGACACGCTGATCACCGGGAAATGCAAATGCCGGTTCTCGGCTGCACTTTCCTCACGCTGTCAGATCGTGAGGAAAATACTGCCGAAAACCGGCAGTTGTCAGAGCGGGGATCGGCACCGATCATCAGGGTCACTGATCATCAGTGCCCTGATGATCGGTGCCCAGCAGTGCCACACACAAGTTCCGCCCACCTGTGCCCAGCAGTGCGCCCACCTGTGCCACCCAACAGTGTCACCACCTGTGCCCAGAAGTGCCACCTACCTGTGCCCAGTAGTGCCACCCACCTGTGCCACCCACCAGTGCCCATCAGTGCAGCCCAGCAGTGCTGCCAGTGAGTGCCCAGCGGTTGTGCCAGTCAGTGCCCAGCAGTGCCGCCAGTCAGTGCCCAGCAGTGATGTCAGTCAGTGCCATCTATCAGTGCTGTCTATCAGTATCCATTATCAGTGTCGCCTATCAGTGCCACCTATCCGTGACACCTCATTAGTACTGCCTATCAGTGCCGCCTATCAGTGCTGCCCATCAGTGCCGCCTATCAGTGCCCATCAGTGCCGCCTCATTAACGCACATCAGTAAAGGAGAAAAATTACCTGTTTGAAAAATTTTATAATAGAAACAAAGAAACGTTTTTTTTTTCAAATTTTTTTCCACTTTTTTTGCTTATAGCACAAAAAGTAAAGTGTCCAGCAGCGATTAAATACCACCAAAAGAAATCTCTATTTGTGAGAAAAAAATGATAAATATTTCATATGGGTACAATCTTGCATGACCGCGCAATTGTCAATCAAAGTGCGACAGCACTGAAAGCTGAAAATTGGCCTGGTAAATAAGGGGGTATAAGTGCCCAGTAGGCAAGTGGTTAAGAGTACAATTCAAATTTTATTGAACAAACCTCCTAATGATAACAGTATTTTTTTTTAAACATAAAAAACTTGCACTGTTCCAAATTATTAGGCACAGTAAGTTTCAAAACACTTTATAGGTTGTAAAGAACTGAAAATTGTCATTTGTTGTGTTTGCAGCATATTTACTGAAATCAAAAGCTATTTCAATCAAACTTTTAACAACATTTTAACTTTTTAAACATTTTAACAGGTCACGTTACATTTTAACATAGGACCCCTTGTTTGATAGCAGCTTCACAAGTCTTGCATCCATTGAACTTGTGAGTTTTTGGACAGTTTCTGCTTGAATTTGTTTGCAAGATGTCAGCATAGCCTCCCAGAGCTGCTGTTTGGATGTAAACTGCCTCCCACCCTCATAGATCTTTTGCTTGAGGATGCTCCAAAGGTTCTCAATAGGATTGAGGTCAGGGGAGGATGGAGGCCACACCATGACTTTCTTTCCTTTTATCCCCATAGCAGCCATTGATGCAGAGGTATTCTTTTCAGCATGAGATGGCGCATTGTCATGCATGAAGATGATTTTATTACGGAAAGCATAGTTCTTCCTTCTGTACCAGGGAAGAAAGTGGTCAGTCATAAACTTTGCAGAGGTCATCTTTACACCTTCGGGGACCCTAAAGGGGCCGACCAGCTCTGTTCCCATGATTCCGGCCCAAAACATGACTCCACCACTGCCTTGCTGACATTGCAGCCTTGTTGGAACAGGGTGGCCGTCCACCAACCATCCACTTCTCCATCCATCTGGACCATCCAGGGTTGCACGGCACTTATCAGTGAACAGGACTGTTTAAAAATTAGTCTTCATGTATTTTTCTGCCCAATGCAGTCGTTTCTGCTTGTGAGCATTGGTTAGTGGTGGCCGAATAGAAGGTTTATGCACAGTTGCAAGACTCTGGAGGACTCTACACCTTGATGTCCGTGGGACTCCAGAGGCACCAGCAGCTTCAAATATCTGTTTGCTGCTATGTAATGGTATTTTAGCAGCTGCTCTCTTGATCCGATGCATGGATCTGGCAGAAATCTTCCTCAATGTGCCTTTATCTGCACGAACCCATCTGTGCTCTGAATCAGCCACAAATCTCTTAATAGTGCGATGATCGCGCTTAAGTTTGCATGAAGTATCTAATGATTTCATACCTCGTCCAAGGCATTGAACTATTTCACTCTTTCCGGCAGCAGAGAGATCCTTTTTCTTCTCCATATTGCTTGAAAATGGTGCTCTGCTTAATAATGTGGAACACCCTCCTTTAGTAGTTTTAAATTGGGCTTACCTACCTATCTAATTATCACAGGTGTCCCGAGATTGTTTTCAGTGATCAAAAGAGCCCTGAGACACAATGCCATCCATGAGTTAAACTGAAAAACAAAATATTTAATCTTTGTGACACTCAGATAGAATTTGCATAATAATTTGGAACAGGGTGTACATATATACAGTATATGATGATAGAGTAAACTATACTCACTGATGGCGAGTAGATCAGGGCTTACCATAGGACGCTAGCCAGAAGTAATACCATGTTTCCCTGAAAATAAGACATACCCATAAAATAAGCCGTAGCAGGAATTCTAATCATTTGCGCAATATAAGCCATACCCTGAATATAAGACATAGTGATAGACGGGCAGCCCTTCTCATCTCCCCCATTGTGACAGCTGCTATCTTGGAGGTGAACGGAGAGGTTACGGGCAGCCCCATCAACAAGGTTGGCTCCCGGTCATTCTGTGCAAGCTGCAAGTTGATTTATAGAGGGAGACAGTGAAGAGGTAGAAAGTGAAAGTAAAAGTCTCCTCCGTGAACTGAGGAGCAGGGGGCTCTGCTTTAGATACCGTATTGTGTGTCCTCAGGGGGAAGAAGTAAAGCTGTGCCTGCTGTTTTACTCAGCACTGTGGGTCTCTCTCCCCCCCGCACCAACCAGCAACAGTCTGTGGGTCTCTCTCATCCAGGGGTGGACTGACAACTCATGGGGCCCCCGGGCAATAGGGGATCATGGGGCCCCTGTGTCCTTGCCCAAACTCAAAAAAGCCTATGAAAAAGGTACTAGGGGCATCTCATGGGGCCCCCTACTGACCCTGGGTCCTCGGGCAGTGCCCGAGTTTCCAAATGGTCAGTCCGACCCTGCTCTCATCCCCCACAAACACCAGTAAAGCTGCTGCTCCCCATACTTACCATACATACCATACTTAATAAAAATAAGACATCCCCTGAAAATAAGCCATAGTGTGTCTTCTTGAGGAAAAATAAGTATAAGACAGTGTCTTATTTTCGGGGAAACATGGTAGCACAACGCTGCTTAGAGAGAGAGGTCAGAATGATAACCGCTACCAAGTGCTGACTGCAGGATATGCAGGATCCTGTGACTGCCAGGTCATCTGCTGGCACAGTGCTGAAGGGTTTGGGAGATATGTGTCTGGATTTC